GGCGAAAGGAGGGGAGAGAGGTGCTGCGAGCGACGATGAGGCGCGCGTGCGGCTGGGGGGCGGGGGGCGAAGAAAAAGGATCGCCCGGAGTTATCTAGTACAGTATAACGGCGTGGGGGGCGTAGGTGGAAGGGCAAGTCGAGGAGGCTACGGTCGCGGCGTCGTGCGAGCCGGCGTCGGCGCCCCGGCGTTAAACTATCCGTATATCGGGCAGGCTGCATCTCGGGGCTGCACCTTATGGCCTAATCTTGCCAGTGGCGACGGCCCTGGAGCGATTTGAGCGCTCGGAACGCCCCTGGCGCCGAAGCCGGCGCCCCGCGTATATAAAAGAGCGATGGGCCGCACCCGGGGCGCTTTTCGCATATCGTCAACATGTGGAGCCACCACGCGCTGCTGGAACCCTCGATGTGGTCGACGCTGTTGGCGGCGCCGCCGCGGCGGCGCCACCTGGACCTGGCGCCGGTGGCAGTGGCCGGGACTACCGACGATTCCTTCAATATTGACAGCTACTTCGTGGTCGACGCCCATCACCGCGTCCAGGTGACGTTGGCGGCGCTAGCAGCGCGCCAGCGCGAAGGCGCCGGGGTGGCGCTCCCCCAATTCAGCCGTGCTAGTGGCAGCGCCCAGGGCGGCGCCCAGGGCAGTGGCGGCGGCGCCCAAGGCAATGGTGGCCAGGGTAACGGCGCCACCACCACAATGGCGCCCGAAGACGACGGCGCCGGTGGACTCGACCAGTGCCACTTACTTTTTGTCGCGTTTAAGCTGGGGCGCCTCGACGTGTTCTACACTACCGAACCGGGCGCGCTCGCCGTGGGCGACTTGGTGATGGTCGAGGCTGACCGCGGGCGCGACCTCGGGCGGGTGGCGAAGCTCGCGGTGCTGATCGACGAGGCGCGGATGCTCAAGATGTTGCAGCACTACCAGCAACTGCAGGCGCTTGTCGACGAGCGGCGCAACGACCAGGCGGGGGCGCCGCTCACCTTCCCCTACCCCAAGCGGGTGTTGCGCCCCGCCACCGCCGTCGAGCGCGCGGGCGTGGCGGCGAAGGCGCGCGACGAGGACCTGGCGTGCCGCCAATTCCTTGTCAAATTGCGCCACACGGCGCAGCTGCTGGCGCCTGGTGCGCCGGTGCGCCAGATGCGGCTTGTCGACGCCGAGTACCAGTTTGACCGGCGCAAGCTCACCTTCTATTACTCGCTGCGCCAGCGCATCGACTTCCGAGATCTTGTGCGCGAGTTGTTCCGGTTCTACAAGACCCGGATCTGGATGCTGGCCGTCAACGGGGTGCCGTACGTGGTCCCCCGGGAGCCTGAGATGGTCATGGTCGACGAGTTCACCGAAACTCCCTACGAGCAGTGGTACACCCCCAGAAGAGTGGGGTTCGGCTCCGGGTATGGTACCGCTGCCGGTGCCGGATACGGCCTGGGCTACGGCGCCGGGTACGCTCTGGGGACGGGGGAATTGTCGATGCTTCCCTCTGCCACCATGCCCCCGTTGATCGGGGGGGTGCCCTCAGCGGGTACGACGCCAATGTGGGACGACGGTGCTGGCACTGGTGCTGGCACTGCGATTACCGAGGTCATGGCCGAGGTGCGCTCGCCCCAAGTTCCTACCCCCGGAACGTCAGTGAGCGCGACTACTGCCACCACCACCACCGAAGAACACTTGCGGATGGAGCCGTTGTTGGCGCTGTTGGTGAACTCAATCAACTTGGGGTGAAAAGTGGCGCTGGAGATTTACTAGGGATACTACTGAGATTTACATTTTATGCATTAGCGGGCTTGTTCTCAACCGGAACAAGTGGTGCGGCTAAAGCCGGTTATAGGCGTTTATATCGAGAATAAACTTGGCATAGGACGAGTGTAGGCGATTGGCGAGTGTAGTGGCAACTGGAGAGTGATGTATGTGACGTGTCATCAATGACTCATCAGTGATCGAATTTGTCGGTTGCTGAGGAATAGGTGGTGAAGTATGAGCCATAGTGGTTTTCATTGACCAGATTCCATGCTATAATAGTGGGTTTACTTGGAATTGACTATTTTTGATGGCCGGTAACAAATCCATGAGCAAATATCCCTTATTGCCGTAGGTATAATTCTTAAGATGAGTGTAACATACTGAGGTAAGTTACCGGCCTACCATCATCTTGCAGTGAAAAACTCCATGTTTCTTCACTGGTTTTGCCTTCTAGTCAATTGATATTTTTCAATTATGCCACTGAGATCACCCTAAAGATGGGTTAGTGTTACCCACTGGATTCAATTCCAAAATTGATACTATGAGAGAATAGGCGTGCTGATTGTTCGGATGACTCAAAATAGTAAGTGACAATTAGTCTCCTATAGCTCAATTGTTGTCTCAAATTACACCAAGGCTAGACCCAGCTAAATAGTCCAATCGGCTTGAATTGATCCGCTTTCAGGGACTGCCTTGCTGGACAATTAGATTCAGACCACAAAAGTCTTTGGACCCTCCTTAGTAATGGCTCAAAGTACGACCAACTAGCCTTAACTCCGTGGCTACTGACTCAAGCTTTATCGGCGATAATTGATTTGCGCCTAGTCTTTTCCACCGAGTGCTACACCAAATTGTCTAGTAATTGTAGTATTATTCTATAACCAGGTCCCAGTAAATCCAGTGCCTATCCCAGGCACAATTAGTTTCGTTTGTCTTTGTCATCGTTAAGTGGTGCTTTGCTTAAGCGTCCGCCTTGGCGGGCTTACAGTCAAACACACAGTCGGCGCCCTTCTTGAAGCAGTTTTCACACTTCAGCACCGCGGGGTTGAAGGCGCACTTCACCTTGCGCTTGCGGCAGGAGAAGCACAGCGACTTGCGTGTCAGCGGCAACACCAACGCCGGCGCCGGCGCCAGCACCACGCTCACGCTGTCGGCGGCCATGAGCGCCAGCGTCAACAGCGCGATCGTCACCAGCGCCGCCGGCGCCCGCTTCTTGGCGATCTTCGCCGGGCGCAACTTCTTCGCCGCCACCACGCTCACCGGCAGCGCCAGCGCTGCGGCGGCGCCGTCGTCGCGGCGCTTGTTGTTCATCATGATGTCCTCCTTGGTAAACCCTTTAGAAAAGCAGCAGCCAAGCCCCTTGACGGCGCACAGCTTGCACACTTTGAACTTGATCAACTTGCCGTGGGACAACACGAGGGTGGCGTCGTCGCCAACGGCGACGGGGGCGCCCGCGAGCACGGCTTCGTGGTCGGCAGGGGAGAGGTCAAATTCGGCCAACGCGCCGCCGTCGGCGGGCGACTTGGCGATGATGACGACGTCGGCGTCACATTTAACCTTGCGCGCCCGGCACAGGTCACACGAGGGGCCAAGGCGCTGGCGGCGTTGGCGAGGAGCGGCGCCCAGCGACGACAGCGACGGCAGCGCCATGAGCGCCAGTTGCGGCGCCGCCATCAGCGGCAGCGAGTGGGGCAGGGGACCGCGCAAGTTGGGGGTCAGCGGCGCCAGCGGCACCAGCAGCGCCAGAGCCGACAGCAGCGTCAGCGGCAGTCTGGCGACGGTAGCGCCGACACCGAGCGACGTAGCCAGGGGCGCCAAAAGCGCCGCCAGCGGCGGCGTCACCAGCGGCGCTCTCAGTGCCATCGTCAGCAAGAGGCCCAACCCGTGGAGCAGCAGCAGCGACTCCTTCTGGGGCGAGTTGTAAAAGCGGGTAGTGTAGCAGTAGTTGTCGAGGGCGGCGATGGGGGGTAAAGTCGTCGTCTTCAGCGCCTGGGGCATGGGGAGCGACGGCGCCAGGTCGCGGGGAGTCGCCAACAGCGGCGCCAGCAGCGCCACTGGCAGCGCCGACGGCGCCTTGGTCGTGTTCATGATGCTATACAGTAACAAGTCCGACATTTGTAAATGGGATGTTTCGAGGTGGAAAGTTCGGAGTTTCTGTGGTGGTAAAAGGAGTAAGAAGCGGAGATGGGCGCCGGCGCCGGCTATCTATATATCCTGTCGGGGGCGCCTTTGGGGCGCCGTCCAGGGCGCCATGCGCCGGGGTCCGCGAGGGAACGAGCGACCGAGAAAATATTTTCCATTATCACAGGGCGCAGGATGAGGGGCCCGGGGATTACCCCAGCGGGGAAAGCGATAAACTTCTCCCACCGCTCGGACCAACGAAAAAGCAAAAGTGGGGGATCCCGAGGCATTTGTAAAACTCGACGGGTTTCACTATGAGTTTCATAGGTATCAACTGATCCCGGTTTCGCTACCAGAAAGGGGGGCCCCGCCTTGGTGTTTCGGATATTTACTATCAGGTGATGTCCTCTTCATGCTCCTCCTTTGCCTAGGGCGAAGCCGCGGGCAGCGCAAGGAGGGGAAGCCCGGTAGTGCGATATCGGGTGAAGCCGGGAGAGCTCAAAAAAAAAAAAATTGGGAAAGCGACAGCCTGTGTCGGTGCACACGAGCGACCGGACTACATCGAATTCGGCGCTGCGGAGTCGGCGGCGAGAGCCGAGGCCAAAGGGCAATACGATGACTACGATGACTCAACCTGTGACAGTGGGGGGGGCCTCGGATGATGCCTCCGGACCTAGGTGTCAGGACCCCCTGTAACAAGTGTCACCATCCGTGTAAATGGTAAGTAGATTAGTTAAGGAATCTGTGTTCTTAGCTAATCGGGTTGTGGTAGTTGGGTGGCGGGGCGAGGCTGCGAAAAGGTAGTCACTGGCGATGAGCGGGTGACTTCCGCGCTTCGGCAAACGACTCCGGAGTTTTCGTGTACACCGTCCTCGGACTGCCGCCACCAATAATTAAAGAGGGCAATAGTAGGATTTGGGTTGCGAGCCTTGGTATGCAATCCAACGAAAAAAAAATGACGAGGGTACGCCAATGTTAGCGGAGACGAAATGGTGAAGTCAGGTACTAGCAGGAAGTTTCAGAAGTACAACTCCTGTAATGGGTGTATCAGGTGACTACTCCCACCTAAAGATGTACTTCCGTGGCCTGGTGCTAATTGTCCGCGTCCATTGTCGGAGTCGTAACCCCGTAGTATACGGCTAGCGCTTATCGGGGGGGCCTAATGTGGCAACGGCTCCGGAGATCCCCGCTTTTGCTTGTGGCGTCATGGGTGCCGTTAGACCGAGCCCTGTGCGTTTTGACTCACTGCCCGAAACATGATTCACGCCATCTCGCTGTCACATGACAAAAAATAGGTAAACGAGGAAAAGTGGGGGATCCACCCCGATGCTTACAACCAGCATCTTTACCAGGCAATAACTACCATTGTACGGTACTACTCTTCGCCATTCAACCCCCTAATCACGATGTTTTGTGGTTTGGGTGGTTCGCGGCATTTTTTTGGTTACATTTTTCGTGAGTAAGTGATTCAGAGTCATAGAGGGTACCCCACACAGGAGTCCGAGCCGAGAAGCGCGGGCGAAACCGGAACAAGCCGCCCACTCACGTCGGGGGGCACTTTTGACTCCGAAGTCATCGCAGCCCGAACCCCGAGAACAGCCACCACGGCAGCAGCAGCAGCAGCGGCAGCGGCAGCAAGCTTTGATTGGAGTAAACCTATATCGATGGGTAGTAGCTATACATACTCTTCCACAGGGGGACTAGGGGGACCCCTGTCCAGCCCCTGTAGAGTCGAGGATAAGCGGTTGGGCTTATCCTCCCCCTTCCCCTCACCTGGAGAGTAATAGGGGCCGATAGCGGGATATTGGGCCCCTCGTGGAAGTTTACCCCCGAAGCCCTACACTATACGTGCTGCCTGCTGCCTGCTGCCGTGGTGGCACTGTCTCTCCCGTGGGCAGAAACACCTCGTCCCCTCTTTCCCTTTTCGGAGGGGCGTGTCTGGCGCACCCGAATACGGTACACGATCTCGTTGCACCTGTCACGTTCACCGTGTAAGCCCCCATTGAGAAAACCGGTACCTCGGTCGCCACACCTTCCGTCCATCCGACCGCCCCCCCACCTTCTTGACGGTTCTACGATCGAGGCTTACCACTTTGCTCAAGCTTATTTTTTGTTTTGCCCCCTAGCCCAAATTTTCGGCTGGTATTCGCCCTTTAGATCTCGGAGCCTCCTTTCCCGCGGCGTCGGCGTCGGATAAACTCCCGAACGGCAAAATTAACCCACACAATGGCGTGGCGCTGAGCGAGCAGCTTTTGTGGCCCCTGATGACAGAAGTGTGGAACCCTCGTAGCGTGTGTCTGGTGTCTAAGTTTAAGGACTAACGGAGAAACACCGTGAGGCGTAGTTTAAGCTTTTGTCCGAGAGGGCTTAGCCTCGATAATGGAACCTTCCAAAGCTGGTCGTCGCCTGAACCCCGCATCTTCGGCTGAAAGGGCTGTGACTTTTAAGCGCCGGCGATCGACGTAGTGTTGTGGATTGCTTTTTTCTTTAATTGACTCCGATGCAGGACCAACGGCTCCACCTTTTTATTTGACAGCCTAAACGTGAATCAGCACAGCTTGGGGAATGGCGACACCATGTGAATTTTTAGCGATAAATTAGGGTTACACTGAGCACGTGTTAGTAGTCCCCTCAGCCACTCGCCTGGGGAACCCCGATCTCGGCGGTGGTCGCCAATCCCCGACAGGACGCTGGAACCGTTGCGGAGATCACCGACAATTTAGTAGCGAAGCAATGGTAGCGAGTGGGTGCGGTGGACACTAATCTCCGTCCGGTGGTAGCCGACGCTGTTCGAGGTTTAGCGCAATCACGGGTCTACCTAGGCTGATTCCACGGCAAGAGTGGCTCCATTCCCTAGCTGACTCCACTTCCAAAATTTGTATCCATTTCTTTTTTGCCTATCCCTTAATTGGTCAATCCTCGTATTCATCCTCAGTCCACTATGATTCAGCCTTAGGAATTATCGCCTGATTACTTTGTCGTCGCTGGCTGGTAGCCGCCTAGGTTAAGCGGAGTCGCAATATACTCCGGCATGGGGATCTCCGCGGAGTCGGGCTCGGATGCTCGGGCTTAGCCCCACCCGCAAGCGCCACGTGAGAGGTGGCGTTACCACCATCGTACCCACACCCACCACCGTCTCCCCCAGCTCTCCCCCTCTGCCAGTTGTCTCCGCATCCAGTCACCTCAACTTACCGTCTACTAAACCTAGCCCATCACCAATGGCACCACTACTAGTTGCCTTCTACTAGTGGCTCTCTACTAGCGGTTGTCAGCAACTCTTGGTTGGCTAATTGCGCCGCACTACCCACAGCCGTGACCACGCCCTCAGCCAGAATGCCGTCATTTCCCTGGCTCTCCTATTACCTCTACTAGTCTCAATGCGATTTCTAAGGCTTCCAATTCGTCTCCGTTGTCTAACTCCTCCTTGGGCATCGCCGGTGGCAGCCATCTCATTTGATCTCATATGGTGCACATTATCAACAAGCCCCCTTGCCTAATCGGGACGAATCGTAAACACCCCGAGATACACCCACCACCACCCACCCCAAATCTCCCCTACACCCCATCTCCGCCGCGCCCCAGCCATGGAGCGACACCCCAGCGACATCGCCACGCCCATCCACCAAAAGTTCAGCTGCCTCCGCCTCCATGACGTCGACGCCATCGCTGACGATGCCATCAACCTCGACAGCCTCCCCCCAGGGGTCGAGGTCCACTCTCGCCTGATCAGCGACACCATGTACGCTAAGGGGTACCTGAGCACGTTTGCCAACTCCTGTCTCGCCGAGGTCAACTCTAGAGCCAAGCTCCACATGGAGAAGGAGATGCCCCCGCCTCCGAGGCCGCCGGCTCACACCACGTTCAACCAGCGCATCGCCCACATCCACAGCCGCCACTTCAACAAGATGAAGCCGATCCTGAGCCACTACCTGGTCCACCCGGAGCAAACGCTGGACGTCAAACGGCGGAAAACTATCACGGGTAAGGAGACGACCAAAACCGCCTCCGTCGCCCCCAGAACTCAACAAACTCGCAGACTACCAACTTCAAAGGCGCTGTTTAACCTCAACGCCTCGCTCTTGCCGCCAGCTGCCGAGTTCGTCAAACCCAAGCTGCCGAGACGGGTATCGCTGCTCGAGCTTGCGGGGGTAAAGCCGCCGCCTTCAGGACCCAGCCACACACAGTTCTCATTCTCATCGTCTACAGTACCGGCTACGCTCAGTAGCCCGCCTACAGTCTCGTCCATGCTGCCTCCCAAGCGCCCTACTCGCATCCCTTCTCCTCACCACCACCCTACCACAATCCTGACGCCGCCAGCGGCTTCACAGCCAACCAGAATCCCTCTGCTGTCACTGACAAGGCTGCTTTCAGAAACCCCAAGAATCCCCCGGCTGGCGCTGCTGCTGCTTGCCCCTTCAGACGCCTCGAGAATCCCCCGGCTGTCACCGACCAAGCCCTCCCTCATTCCCAATACCCCGAGCCGGCTCCGCAAACTGAGTCTGGTCCGCAATCTCTCCGCTCCAGCGGCGCCGGCGCCGTCTTTGCCCTCCCTGCGCCTGGACCGGACGTTGCGCAAGTACACTGTACCCCAGGAGACGTCGCTCTACGCTCGTCCCACCATCTCGTCGTCCAACAAGTCGTTGCGCCACGTTTCCAAGTAATATACCCATGAACCGAGATCACAGTGATAGACTTGTGATTAGACATCGATAGCCATCATCATAGTGTAATACATTTACGATACCTAAACCAACCATCGTACTCTCGATATCACCCGTCAGTAATGATTGAACTATCACATTTTCCAACTAGACCCTGATGTCTTCAAACAATCATGAATAGCAGTTAACTAGAAGAATGCTCACCTTGACATACTATCATTTATAATCGCAATTCGCAAACCTAGTTCTCACACTTACTTAGGTAGCAGATACTCAAATTAGAAGATAGGAAAATTTATCGAATACAAACGAGGACAGTTTATTCACAAATTGGGGTCTCAATGCTAGTCTCCATGTTAAAATTTGAACTATAAATATACTTTTGTAGAAATTGTCAAGAATCGAACCGAGCACAACATGCTGAGAGAATCCGATATTGACTTGTACTGTAAGTGGAGAGCTAAGAATCGTCACAACTCCGAATTGAGGCATTCCTAAAATGATTGCATCGAGAACCGCATTTGTTGATAGCCTTTCAGTGGAACCGTAAGGATAGCGTCGAATTGGTTTGGTTGTGTGTTTTGCTTTGACTGTCACAGCTCAATGGATTACGTCCTGCATAAACATACACGCGCCACTCGTCCAGAATTTCGTTTATTTGAATCCTACATACTGTGCCAAAAATTATTTCAACTTTGATTTCAAATTTTTTTTTATCAAAATTTTTTTTTTTCCAGAACATCTTCTAACTGCTATTATACATATATTTGAGCCGTGACGATCAATTTGGATTCAAAACTCTTAAGTTGTTCTGTTGATGGCGAATGCTCGACATGAAAGTTCCTTTACTACATACAGGATTCGTACAAGAACGCACATAAAAGCGTCATAAGTACGTCACCTTTTCAGTTGAGTCCATGAGGGTTTCACAGCCAGTACTATAGCATATTAAAGTTGTAGCAGTGATAACTTTTTGATCGCCTCTGGATTTACAATTAGTAGCGCCATGTATACCAAGGGTACTGCATATGATAATCAATTCTGCAAGTAAGGCAAGTAGAGTGCCATAGCTGAAACTACTTCAAATCGAACGTCAACTTGCCCGGAGATTTATCTACCATACTTCTGATGCCAAAGAGTTTTATGAAGTAAACGGGAAGCCTGTAGCAGTTTTTTCTGATTTTATATCACTTTTTGTAGATTTTCAGTGGCAAATTCAGGAAAATATCTGATGCTGTTATAAATGGTATTTACACCGTATACATCACAGTGGTGCAATTCGTTTCTTTCTTAGGTTCAATATAGGCGATGAAAGAGCCAGATGAAGAATCATGAACGATATGCACATGCAAGGCTTGTGTGCAGAATCCCAAACTTGAAAGCCCTATGTAAGTGTCAGCACTGGTGGCAGCATCTACCTAAACCCATCAAACCAAATAGACACGTCTCCAGATTACAATGATGCTTGTTAAAATGGACTAGTCACTTAGTATCTGCATGGTATAGCTCAACTTGTTGGGTCTTGCATATTTGTCACGCACCTGCATACAAACATCAAAATAGACGAGGTGTTACACCATTTTTAGCACTGCTACGAACATCACGGGTCAATTACAATGCTCCACAGATGTAATAGACCACGCTACAAATTCAAAGTGGTCCAAAAAAAATTTGCAAAAGAAAAAAAAAGTTTTTCTTCCACCGTAAAACTCACATAAAGACGCCATTTTTGAAGTCAACTCGCCCAAAATCAGATCAGATATACTTCCAGTGCCAAAGAATTTTATGGAACAAACGGATTGAATTTATCTATCTTCCCTGATTTTATATCACACTTTGTAGTTTTTTCGAGAGAAAATTTAAAAAATTCAAACAATTCCCATTTGTTGTCGCAAGTATTATTTGAACAGTAGAAATTACAGTGATGTAGTTCGTTTTCTTTTAGGGTGTCGTTTACCTCACAAATGAACTTGAGTAAGGTTTTTCTTATTTCCTGCATATGAAACTTCTGTGTGCAGGCATATACGTTGCAGGCAGGATAGGTGTGTCCAAAACGATATTAGCTCACCAAAAGCTTGTCAAACCAATAGAATATGCTTACAGACTAAGTGGTGCTGAGAACAATTATCTTGAACTGTATTCTCAGAGTGATTTTGCAAATGGTAAAGCGACTCAATTGAATACTTCGAGTGGTTTAACCTAAGCTTTAGTCGTCAACTGGATCAGTTAACAGATACTCTTTGGACAATCCGACCTGAAGACTCAGTCTGACGGGTATCAACATTTCTCGTTACTGCTATGTCAATCGTCATTTCAGCAAATCACAAACAAGGGGAAGGCTAATCATCGGATCCTATAACTTTAGTCTATCGTGCCAGCCAAAAATTTAATATAATCCAAACTCAACATTGTAATTTACGGCATCCTAATCTTTGTATGGCACGATTGCGTAACCGTTAATTTGTGAAAGATCAACAATACTTTCCATATTACTAGCCACTACGTAGCTTTGTCAGTTGACTTCATCGCATAGGACGTACTCGTATACTGCACAACTACAACTATGACCGCTCATTTTCACACTGTCATCGCTTCACCAACGCTGATTGTGATTTCACCAAGGCCTGACTCCGGTTTTCGGCTCGAAAGCTCGGCCACTGTCTGCCGCAACTAGTTGTTCTCCTTGATCAGTTTCATCTTCACCCAGGTTTAAATTCAAGATAAAGTTATACGTTTGTAGAAATTTTCAAGAATCGAACTGAGCACAACTTGTTCAGTAATCCGATACTGCCGTGTACTGCTAATGGAGTGCTAAAATTCATAACCCAGAGTTGGGGCAATCCCAAAACGATCAAATTGACAACTACTTGAGACTCATAAAGCAATAGGCAATCCTGTAACGGTCACGGATTCTTCTCAACCCCTTGATGACTCCTGTTAAACCCCTTCTCGGCTCAAACTCATCACCATCCCCTCTCTATGTGTGATGGTTCTATTATTAGTTCCTAGATGAATACGTTAGATCCCAAGCTGCCCCTTCCCAATTAGTGCATAAGTTTACCGTTTACAGAATAGTAGTAAAGACTTGTTTTTCGCTTGTTCATAACCCACACCGGCTGCGAGCGTAGTAGAGTCGCAAATAGAGCAGATAGTGTTGATTTAACGTCGTATTGACTATCTAATCACGTCTGAATTAATTTGCACACTTTGAGCAATCGATGTTGGAAAGTGTTCACTTGACCCAGCACCGTGGTATCGTCAACTTAGTGAAGTTAGACGATGACGTAACTAAGGTCAATCCACTGGTCGCTGGTAGCCGCATTTAAGGTTCACACATAACCTTGTGTAACACCGAAAGTGAGGGACCAAGGGACTGCCGATGGACACGTAGTGACTTTTCATCAATCATCATCTATCCACTTCAACCTCAAATCATTCTCTTTCTTCACTCCGTTGAAGGTGGCTTTTCATCGATTTCCAGATGCTTGGAAAGATTCACAGATTAGCGACTGCTGAAAACGATGACGGAAACATGCAGGGTTGTTTTGCTACGAGGACTGGCTCCGGAACAGGAATAGTAAGTGGTTGCTATTGACATTGTCGTCGTATTAGTACAACAGCACAAAAATGACCTTAGACTTTCGGCTAGGCTTGCCTCTAACGAGAGGGCAAAGGCATGGCCAGTAAAGGTCATTAGCAAGGTTAGGATTACCTCCTTGGAGCACACGTTGGTATCAGCATTTCATTATATGCTTCACCGGTCCAATTCATTGGACTTCGAACTTCCACGACCTACGAAAGCGTGACAACCTCGCTCACGCTTATTTGATGGTCCGATACAATCCCCAGATGGGATCGCCGCTGAGATATGGACGGCCCGGTTGAGTCGGCACCTGATGTATCTCGGGTGACGCAAAACCAAACTTTCCTCGGCAGCAAGCAGTTCTGGAACAGTACATGTGCCCCTGTAAACACATCTAAACATCGGTAAGGGGCATGTGTCGTCAATGTGAAGCATCGTACCAGCGAGTAGAGTGATAGCATAGCGAAAATTGCTTAGCTCCAGACAAGAAGCTTGTAACTCCCTCAATTAAGTACGTCAAGTCTTTGTGATAGCACGGAACCGTTTCGGCACCATCGAAGGGCATCAGGCGGTTCATTTCGGCACAATAGCCGTCATCGAGGCAGCGGCACTGAAGCTTAATTTGTGCATTACACCGAATAGGGAACATAATTGAACCAACGAGGTTTCAAATAATCACCACCCCAGAAAACCATAGGGATCACAAGCAATTGGTAAGTGTTGAAATTGATATAAATATCCCCCTCCATCTCGTCTTATTTCTTCATCACTCAACTCAACTCAATCAACCAATAATGAAGTTCACCACTGTCATCGTTTCCGCCGCCGCCATTGCCGGTGTTGCCTCTGCTCCCGTCGCTGAAGGTGAAGCCACTCTTGGCTTGATCAAGGGGATCCTCGGTGGCCTCTTGGGCCACGGCAGCTGGGGTGGCAGCTGGGGCTGGAACGGCCAGGGCGGCTGGGGCTGGGGCGGCAACGGCGGCTGGGGCTCATCGTGGTACTACCGCAAGATCACCGTGATCAAGAGCAAGGGTGGCCAGACGTACTACTACTGCTTCCCTCCCAACTACAACCCCTGTGGTTGCGAAGCTGACGCTGCGTACGCCGTCACCTCCGATGATGCCAACAAGCTCATCGACGACGCCTCGTTCGCCGTTGAGACCAACGACGCCGTCACCATCCCCGATGATGTCGCTGAACAAGGTGTCGCTGCCGCTGCCCAATCCTCGTAAGCAGGATCTTGCGAATGATACCAACGGGGACAGAACCATGTCTCCGGTTTATAATTGTGAATGTAACGTCAAAAAGGATAAAACAGTGTAGTATCTCAAGAGGGCACAGGAGGACCACTCTCTTTAACTGCCTCATCGACGTCTTCAAGCATCTTAGCGGCCATTTCCCGGTGGTTTGTCACCTCCTTGGTGATGAAATTGACTGCTTCCATATACTGGTCACGTGTAGTTTGTGCCTCGGCTTCCAACGCCTGTCGCTGGCTCTCTAGACGATGTTCAGCATCAGCATAGCGACGACGCGCTGCCTCGAGTCTCAGTCTCATTGTGGCCACCAACTGCTCTCGTTCCACTCGTTTTTCGTCACGTCCTTGAGCCACCAGCCGCACTTCTTCCTCGCCCTTGTGCTTTTCCATATCAAGTTGAGCCTGAGCCGCATTGGCTTTCTCCTGAAGCATACTGGTGTGGCGAGACATCAGGTCACACTCAGCGCGGAGGCGGTCGAGCTGGTCAGTAGTGGCATCCGTAGAGTCACGGTAGCGCCGTACTTCGCTGCGAAGGGGGTTCATGGCCGCACCGATGAAGTTGCACTCGCTTTCAGGGTCGCGGTTATCGGTAAACACGCTGCCGGAACCGGTAGTCAAGATCTGGGGGTTGATTGAAAGGGAACACCCTTCGAGATTAAGGTGGGCACACTGGCTGTTGTAGGCGTGCACCAGGGCATCAATGGCGGCGTACTCTTCCTCCATGCGTTGAAACTCCAACTCCAGGTCCTCGCGAGCCCGCTCGCGGGTTTCCCGAGCCAGGCGAAGCTGTTCCTGGAGCGCCAGCTTGCGGGCGTGGAGTTTAGCCACCTGGTCGGGCAGAGCGTCGCGAGCACTAAGGTCCTGGCGGAGCTGGCTCTTGCGTAACGCCGCGTCTTTGATTTCATTCAGTAACTGCTGAGCAATTGCGCGAAGTTCATCTAGACGGGCAGGGTAGGCGTCGGTCTTGTGCCTGAGCTCATCGCAGTACTTGGTGAGCTTTTCTCGGTCCACTTCTAACAGTGTCGCCACTTGACGAGCATTAAGGTACAGTTGGTGGAGCTGTTGAAGTCTTGCCGTTTCGTCAATGAGCTCTTTAGCCTTAGCCTCCTTAGCCGCAGCAGCAGCGTCGTTGGCGGCCTCCAGGTGGCGGTAGTCTTCGACAAGCGCCTGTTTAATCTCGTGGTGGCGACCATCATCGCCGGCAAGCGCGGCCTGGTACCAGGTAAAGAAGTACCGGATCAAGAGCCGGTCGTAGATGTCCTGGGGACACATGTACCATGGCATGCCGTCGTCGAGCACGGGAGTCTCCACCTCCAGCACCATTTGGGCCCAGTCGCAAAGCCACCGGAGCATCGCCACCACCACCGGCCACAGCGTCAACAGCCCCACCAGCCGCATGTGCATCAGGGTTAATTGCCCGAGTTGCGGGTAGTGGTGGAGCCGTAACACCAGAAATATGTCTTGTTCCGGGTTGGCATTCGAGGTATAGTGAAACAGCGGCTCAATGGTGCGGTATATAAACGCAAATATCTCTTTAAACTCCGATTGAGTCGGCGGCTTACCATCAGCAAGCACTGGCCGCGGGTAGTCATGAACCAGGAGGTATTCGTGGACAGCAAGGGTATTTTCCTTCGTTTGACGAGCACTGGGACGTCCAGAAGCCAGTCCTGGCGGGTTAATCATCGCGGGAGCCGCCAGCGAGAGGATCAGCAGCAGCCGGGTCACCACTAACAGCGCCCGCGCCAGGCGGCCCAGCTGAGGCCAGGGCCCCAGTTGCGGTGTCAGAGCCCCGTATGGAGTTCGTCGAGGTGTATTTCCCTCGGGTAACGGGAACGTCTTCCCGATCAGCTTGCGGGACATGGTCTGGTGCACCGATGTAAACAATCAGTGCGTGAAGTCGGTGCGGCTTCGCGAAGCGCGACGCGAACTGATCCGATGAAACTACTCTGAAGAGGAGAGAGATCGTTCACATGGAGTTATAAAAGCGACAATGTGAGTGAAAACATAGAATTCAAGCAGCGTTAGCAATGTCAAAATCGACTAAAGTTTGAGATATTGAAAGGTTTAATTAAGTGGATTTTCAATGTAGAGATTTGTTTTCATTTCATTGAACACATTGGTGTATCACTGGGTTTAGTTTGATTGTTAGGGAGTTTGATACTCTTTGAAACTTATAGTTTGTTTGCAAAGCGTCTGAGTGAAGATAATTATGATAATTACAATGTAGGTCTGCATACAGCTGACGTTGCCCTATCGACAGAAAATTAGTCCCAAAACGATAACAAAGATGGTGCTGTCGTTGTGATCGTCAAAACGTGGGGATGCAAACCGATACCAACTGAGTTCATGTCGGATATAACAGCGGAACACTTCCAATTTCATATGTCCTCCTAATTGACATGGGATACATCTGTGGCGGGCTATCCTTCGAAGTAGAGCTAACCTGAGTATACATCATAAGAGGCAACGAATATAACTCAAAAAATCCATAATATGAAAGCTGTCAAAATTCTGGGGGTACAACCAATGACAAGATAACTCGTGAGAGACCAATCGTCACCCATACAATTTGTCCAAACAGTGTATGTTGAACCAAGTCAGTTGAGAGACAATCCTTTAAAGGTTATTTGCACTCAGCTCAAGAAACCTCGGTCGTTACCGCAGATGAAAGAGTGGATTTCAGCGCAGAGAGTGAATTTCAAACGAATCGATTGTCCCAAGCTTGAGCGGGTGGACCTTCCTGATGGGGCAACCGGCGATGTCTCTGACTTCCTCAATGATGACCAAATGGGTCAATTGAGGTGTCTCATCTCGAAGGGACCACAGATTCGTGACGTTCCTTTACTTCATCAATTGAAAACGCTACACATCAAGATGAATGCGCCTCTCACCACAAGGTTCCCATTACCGCCTAACGTGATTGAGTTGAAGGTGTGGCAGCGTCATCCAGTTGAGGGAATCCCACCCCAAATTGAAATCTTTGAGTGTGGAGGCTTGCCTCACGAACACGAGCCGCTGTTTGACGTCGACATCAGGTCGGAAAAGCTTCGGTCGTTCAAGATCGATTATGCATCGAACGTAAATATTAATTGTCCCAAACTCACAAATCTTGAGTTGAGACACGTTATGGTACTTGGGAATTTCATTGAACTTGATTATGTGCTGAATTACGGGGTATACCCATGAATGAGGATACAGAGAGAAGGCTTGCGTTGCTTGAGCAACAGGATCCGGTGGATGACATCTTGGTTGACAATTTCATCTATATTGAGAATTTCTATATTCCAAATGTGGTGAAGTTGGATTTGACAGTGGTGCCGACGTTCCCATTTGAGCTAGTTCCAACGATCAGCCAACTTCGATTGACCTCGGCTAAACAAGACGTGGTTATTGAGGAGCGTCTCAAGTTAATTGAGGTTCACGAGCTGATAATAGGGAAGATGTCAATCTCAGCGGATTCCTTAACTATCACGGTTGCACCTTTAATGAAACGCCTCATATCGTGGCAAATAAGGTGCTTGTCAATTCCAACACCGCGTGCTCGAGGCCAGATCACGTTGATACGACGGACACGAATTGCCAGCAATTAACCTGCAATGCTATCAATCACATTCCGCACATGGCGGAGAACTAATTGGTCACCGCAGTCACCTCCGGCGAGGACCACAAATGCAGCCGTGTTGGTGATGTGCTCTCGATCCCCCTCGAACTCAAAGGATAAGATAAGCTCAAAGTGCTTCTGCCAAACACTTATTCCTTGAAAAGACTTATGCAAACTGGTTCCCCATACCGGCCCCAATCAAGGAAATTCGTTTTGGGTTTTGTGACATCCAGAATGCGACCTTACCGTTTGAAGATGAAACCCAACTTGTACATTTTAAGTGCTGGGATGCCCTCGATGTGAAGCAATTGGGATTATCCGAAGGGTTGCCTCCATCCCTACACGTGGCTAGTGGAGTGCTGCGTATCATACCCGAATAGTCAAAGCAGCATGACCAAGTGACGAATGAAGATGATTAAGTGATAAGTAAATAACGAATGATAAGTAAGTGACGATATATGTGTAGCGTACCATGATCGAGCCGACTTCCGAGTACAAATTTGCATACTGTGGACATTAAATGTAGCGTCGCATGTCGAGGTCCAAGGTTACACCCTGATACTACGATCAGCCATTTACCCATGGGGTTCATCTTTTCGAAAATTAATTGACAAATTCACTGAAGAAGAGAACTTTATGATTACGGAGCAAAATTGTGCAGCTAATGAGCACTGGTGGTTAAAATATACCACTGACCCAATTCAGTCAAATCGTCGTTCTTAGCACAAGCCAGCCTTCAGTCAACTGGTTTTCTTTTACTTTAAATTGAATGGAGAGAACTGCAAAGCATCACTATATTAGCAGCGCTACTCGCTGACTTACTGCTATTACACTGTGCATTTTCTCAATCGACTTAGGAACGGCTTGTTTCGCGACAGTGTTTATTGCTCTCAGCTCCACAATAAACTAAATCAGAAAGCGATGAAACTCTCAATTGTCCACCTGAAGCCGATAATCGTCCTGATATTGTTAATTAAAATCAATTGATTCCGTATCGGCCCCACACTAGCCCCCACTCGTCTCCCACTGACGCCGCCCACGGTGCGACCTTTTGTGGTGCGCGGGCGTTGCCATTCGACCCAAACGTTATCGCAAGCCGTCTCCACCACCATGCCCCTTGCCAAGTACGCTGCCATCTCGTTGCCGGAGCTGACGCATGCCTCTGGGTGGTTGCGGGAACACATGCAGTCCGACCACTCCAAGTTGACGTCGCTAGAGCTCCCACAGTTCCAGCTGGGCACGTTGGACTCGCTCATTGAAGGGCTGGAGGAATTGGGCAAAATCGACTCCCAGTTGGCCGGGTCGGTGGCTAAAATTGTTGACATTTTCACCAATGTGTTGGAAACGTCGTCGTTCCAGCGGACAGTGCAAAACCGCCCCGCCACCGATTACGTGGAAACATTCAAGTGGAACACCTCCAAGTTCCGCCTCGACAAGCCCATCCCCGAATTGGTGAAGCTCATCACCAACGAGGCGTTCTCCTTAGACGCCGACGTCAGGGCTGCCTACCAAACCTACCAATCGGCCCGCAGCGACTTTGCCGCCGCCGACCGCAAACGTAACGGTGATTTACTGATCCGCAGTTTGCACGACATCGTCCACCCTGACCAATTTGTCTTAAACCTGGAACACCTCAAAACTGTGCTTGTGGCTGTCCCCAAGAACTTGGACAAGGAGTTCCGCAACTCCTACGAAACGTTAGTGCAATACGTAGTGCCGCGACTGGCGGAATTGATTCTGAGCGACAGCGAGTACAACTTATATGCCGTGACCCTTTTCAAGAAATACGAGCCTGACTTCGTCGCTGCTGCCCGCGACAAGAAGTGGCACCCGCGGACGGACTTTGAGTACTCCGAGGACACCCTCAACAACATGCGCAAGGAGTTTGACTTGACGCAGCAGAACGAGCTGAAGCTGAAGAACGACTTGGTGCGGTTGGCCCGCACCGCCTACCTGGATATCTTCGCCGACTGGTGCCATATCAAGGCAATGAGGGTGTACGTGGAGCTGGTGTTGCGGTACGGGTTGCCGCCGCTGTTTGACTACTACCTCATCGGCTTCCACGGGCTGCTGCTTGAGAAAAACTTCAACGCCGCCAAGAAGCAATTGGTGGAGAAGTTTGGCTACTTGGGGGGCGAGGCCTCGAGCAAAAACACCAACTTGCACGAGTACGCGCTGTTGGTGGAAACCGACTACGAGCCGTTCGTGTTCTTTGACATTGAAATCGTATAATCATAATACACAAAGAGTTAAGCGTCGATAGTAACTACGTCTCCCGAACCTCTCTATACACTGCAAACTTAAGAGAGCTTTAATGAGGCTCATTGCCAACATAGCAAATTTTTGAACGGTCGATGGCTTTGATAAGTAACTACATGAATAAATTCGAAGCGACACTCTTGTCACTATCGCTGAGGCATTCAAATGTTTTGAGTTGTAAGAGAACTCCACCGACAAAGTTGGCTGTAGCAACTCTCGATTCAAGTCAACCCTAATTCGAAAGAAACGCAAACTAGCATCAAATAATTATTACCAATTGAGACGAGACGCTTAGAAAAGCTGCTGATGCCGGAGTTAACTCTCCAACGTAAATTATAACGTAATCGCATTGCCAAGCCATAATTCTAAGCTAGCGAACAATGTACAAAATTTCGCCCATTCAAACATGATCCATCAATCAATGAAAACCTGGATATAACTTAATAAACCCTCGACTACTCATAACAAAATAGTTAAAACCTTTTCACCTCCTCGTACGCGGGATCTCGCTAACACACGGTCGACGCATATGGATTATTTCACTATGTGCACCACCAGGGCCCCCTTAGTACGTGTAGTATGCGTGCGCGCTACCCTCAACTGGGCGAATATAATCTGAATTCGGGGTGCTCGCGACGTTACCACACTGCCGTGTCGATTCTGACCCCGTCGTCCTCGTGCCACCATGAAGCTCTACCTCACCCTGAATCGGTTCCGCGCCTACGTCGCCGACTGGATCGTGGTGTTGGTATTGTTGATCGCCTTCTTCACCGTGTGCGAGCTGGCAAAGCCGTTCACGCGCCAGTTTGAGATTGATAACCCCCGCATCTCCCACCCATTCGCCCATGTGGAGCGGTTCAGTGATGACCAGCTCTACTTGATCACGTGTATTGCTCCCTCGATCATCATCACGTTGATTCTGTTAGTGAAAGGGAAGACCAACTACGATCGCATCCACCTCTACCAAGTATCCAACCTCGCCTTCTGGCTCACGATGGCGATGGTGGGGGTCATCACTGATACCCTTAAGGTGTGGATTGCCAATCCTCGTCCCGACTTCTTGGCTCGCTGTGGAGCTAAGACTACACAAAAGACGGGGTTGGTGGACATTCTGGTGTGTCTGAGTCCTCTTGGCGAAGCCTACCTCTGGGACGGTCTCAAACTGACACCCCTGGGCCACTCGTCATTTGCGTTTGCCGGCTTAGGCTTCCTCAGTCTCTGGCTTATGGGCCAATTCAAAGTGTGGCGAAACCACGCACCGTTATACAAGCTGATATTTGCGCTGTTACCCTTGGTATTGGCCAGTTACATTGCGTTGTCTCGCGGCCAGGACTACCGCCACCACTTATTTGACATCTGCTTTGGCTCCACCATCGGTATCGTAGGGGCCTGGCTCGGCTACCATCGCTACTTCCCTGCGGTCAACGGTAAAAACTGCAACCAGCCCATTGACTTTGTAGAGCTGTGACATAAAACTATACGACGTTTATATCCTCAAATCGATAAAGGTATACGCCCTTTCAAATAATTAAAAGAATAAAAAATAAATCGAAGTTTTGTAGCGGTGACTGGTTTCGATCCAGTGACCTTTGGGTTATGAGCCCAACGCGCTTCCACTGCGCCACACCGCTTTCACAAAAAATTGGTCTTGGCTCATTACTAGGCGGTTTGAGGCGATCAAACTCATCGCAATTTGATGAACAGCGTCTGTTTGACTATTTGGTTGCTTCTTTGATACTTTGACACGTCTGCACGAGTAGGGAACTGGCTTTCAAATCACATTAAATGCATTGTTGATGATCTAAACTTGATAATTAGTACCTGAAGCGATGAGGTAACATTAGGTACCAACGTAAATGTCAGGCACAACTGAAATAACGCTTTCAGCTGACCTACCAAACGATCAGTAACACTGAATAGTGACCGTTGATTTTGTGTGAGATATGAATCTCGTATAAATGCATCATGCGTTAATTGAACGTTTCTTCGGTAACTTTCGACTACAGTTCCAATTTTACTGAAAATTATTACAGTATATAACCTATCCTTTTGTCCGTTGAGGACCCCAATTAATGCAATAAATACTCTATCCAGGAACAATTGTAAAAGCAAACATGACATCGTTTTTTTTCTAAGGGTTTTTTCTCTTTTTTTCTTTTCATCATAATGTGTAAACCAACGAGTTGAGCGTTGGTTTCATGAGTCATTACATTAATCATCACGAGTTTAGGTTGGGCTCACCACCAACAAAACACTTAGAACTTCAACTTCTTGGGTTGTTCCCAAGGGTTTTCTTGGTTGGTGAAGTGACCGTACGAGGCGGTCTTGAAGTAGATGGGACGGGCCAAGTCCAATTCCTTGACGATGATACCGGGTCTCAAGTCGAAGTTGTTCTTGATGATTTCGACCAATTCTTCCGACGAACGGTCCGAGGTGCCGTAGGTGTCGACGTGGATCGACAAAGGTTCGGCGACACCGATGGCGTACGAGAATTGCACCAAGGCTCTTCTGGCGAGGCCGGCATTGACCAACGACTTGGCAACCCATCTGGCGGCGTAAGCAGCCGATCTGTCGACCTTGGAGAAGTCCTTACCCGAGAAGGCACCACCACCGTGGGCACCCCAACCACCGTAGGTGTCGACGATGATCTTTCTACCGGTCAAACCGGCGTCACCTTGGGGACCACCGATGACGAATCTGCCCGAGGGTTGGATGTGGTAGATGGTCTTGTCGTCCAACAATTCCGCGGGGATAACCTTTTGGATGATGTGCTTTTGGATTTCCTTTCTGAGGTCTTCAGTGGAGATCTCGTCGGCGTGTTGGGTCGAGATGACGATGGTGTCGACTCTGAGGGGCTTGACGGCACCGCCGTCCTTTTGGTATTCGATGGTGACCTGGGTCTTGGTGTCGGGTCTCAACCAGGGCAAGGTGCCGTTTCTTCTGGCGTCGGCCAAGGCGGCGTTGAGCTTGTGCGACAAAAGCACCGTCAACGGCAACTTTTCGTCGGTTTCGTCGGTGGCGTAACCGAACATGATACCTTGGTCACCGGCACCCAATTCTTCCAAGGCTTGTTCCAAGTGCAAACCTTGGGCGATGTCGGGCGACTGTTGTTCGATGGCGACCAACACGTTACACGTCTTGTAGTCGAACCCCTTTTCGGAGTCGTCGTAACCAATGTGCTTGATGGTGTCACGGATGATCTTTTGGTAGTCCAATTGGGCCTTGGTGGTGATTTCACCGAACACCATGATCATACCGGTCTTGGCGGCGGTTTCACACGCGACCTTCGACAAAGGGTCGACGGCGAGACACGCGTCCAAGATGGCGTCGGACACTTGGTCACAGATCTTGTCGGGGTGGCCTTCACCGACCGATTCCGAGGTGAACAAGAACTTTTCCGGTTGTTGGGCAGTCATGGCTGTGGAAGAGGGAGAGGGGGTGTGACGAATTAACGGTACGAGGAGAAAATCTGCACTCACGGGGGTCGCGTTATTTATATATGTTGGGTCGGGACGGCGACCAAAATTTTCACTTTATGGCGATTAGATGAGTGCACGTGTTGTCTGGTTACGCAGCCCTGGGACAGTGAAAAATACCCACACCAATGAGAAAAAAGCACTGAGCCAGGCGATCCTGCGATCCGCGCGCGCGGGTACGAAGGGTACGATCAGCAGCCACAGTTTTTACTACTACCAACACTCCCGCTCACTACTGCTAACTCTACCTCCCCACTCTCACTCTACAATGCTATCAGCTACACCATGGTACAACTCTATGATTCACTCTTGAAACCTGGCTAACAAAGCTCGTACAGTCTAGCAAAGCTCCGGATTAGCGGCACAGTTCTTTTTTTTGTTGGCCTTACCAGTAGAGGCCACGTCGGCGCCGATAGTGTGCCTCTCTCAGGCGCCACATTTTATTCGTGCTCGCGGTGGCCACCTGAGCCCCACGGGCCGCAGTGCTGTAGGCAGCCAGTGCAGGCATAACGCCCGGCGTCGCTCAACCTGCTGGAAACGGGTACTCGCCGAGACGCGGCGTGGGAGGAGTGCATGTGACCGCAACCCCCCGCAAGCCAACAGCTACGCAATGACCCGGCGCTACCACCTCAGTAAACACTGGCCCTGTCGATGAGGTTATTGACGTGGGTGCTCTATGTGGCGCTGTGGGCTACTTTAGTGGTGGCAACGCAGTTCCAGCACCCGCTCTTACCCACGGAGGACGAGTTCTACGTGCCACCACCCGGGTTTGAGGCTGAGTCGCCAGGCACTATTCTTCGCATCAGACCCACACCAAACAAGCTCCGCAACATCTATTTCGCCATCGATGTCGACCAGCTGTGGCAGCTCATGGTGCGGCTGACCGACCAGTTCGGGATTCCCTCAGCCGTGGTCACCAGTGTCATTATTCCCTTCAACGCTGACCCTACCAAAATCGTGCTGTACCAGATGTTTGTTGATCTGTGCTCCGAGGAGTGTGCGCCGCTGATCGCGATGCTTGAAGGGGCACTGATGGCTACTCTTTCATCTCAACTTGAGGTTTTATTCATTCAGTTATGCCTTGAGAAGGGGTGGCCAGTGGTGGTTCCTGACCACGGAGGCGTGGAGAACCAGTTTCCTGGAGGTCCTCAAGGTGCTTACGCTACGCTAGACTCAATTCGCGGTGTGCTCGCTCTGGGAGCCACCACCAATATCCTGAGTGAGGCCCAGGTGGTGATGTGGGGCTACCTGGGCGGGTCGATCCCTACGATCTGGGCGCTGGCACTCCAGCCTCAATACGCCCCCGAATTGAAGACTAACTTAATTGGTACCATTGCTGGTGGCGTTATTACCAATTTATCATCAGCTGCTTGGCAAAACGACGGCACTCCGTTTGCCGGTATCATCGCCATTGCCATGGGAGGCTACGCTAAGACTTATCCTCAATTTGATGCTTTGTTAAAACAGAATATGAGCCCAAAAAACTACCACCGATTTATCTCACTGCAAACAGGGTGCTTCTTTCCTAACGTAATGAAGTTTGTTGGTGTTCAGTTCTTTCTGGGTAAAAAACCTTGGATCAAAGACGGATGGGATTTCCTCAATAACGAGGTGTGTAAACAAATCTTTGCCGAGAACCTGATGCCGCTAGACGACGAAGGACCGATGCCAGAAACTCCAGTACTCATCTACCATGGCTACCACGATGAACTCCTTCCACATAAGGACTGTGCTCTTCTCGTTGATCTGTGGTGTCGTCGAGGCATAAAGTCACTTGAATTCCTCTCAGACTACACGTCAGACCACATGATTGGCGTGGTGCTGGGAGTGCCGCTTGCCATCACCTGGATGAGCGACCGGTTTGCTGGTAAACCACCGGTGGAAGGGTGTGTCAAACTCAATAAGCTTTCGTTTGTGCGCTACCCTGGAGCCATGAGAGAGACGTTGGAGCTGTTAAAACGCACGGGCGGCCACTATTTAGGCCGCAACGTGGGGCTGGCCACCAACGTGCTGATTGATGCGGTGAAACGGTTTATCCGTTATGGCGTTGACCACGGTAAAGGTGCTGCTCACAAAGCCTCCCGCCGCATGCTCAACTGGTACTACGAGCGGTGACGACATTTGCACTCTCAAACATTACAAAAAACTCATGGGGCGAGACCCCGATGTCATGACATCTTTTATTTTGTTTTCTTTTATTTTTCTTTTACTTCTCTTTTTCTATTTTTTTTCTTTTTTAGTAAACTTTTTGCATAAGCTAACGAAGTAAACGAAGTAAACGAAAACTGTATGTGACAGGTCTTACTTTTGTACATGGTGACCGTTGACACGTGAGTGCGCAACGGTTATATAGCACTAAATTTTAGTACCGATACACTCCGATCACATGGGTCCGAATTCCCCTCAGACGCCCTAAGAAGACGTACGTCTACTTTTCACCTAAACACCACTCGCCATGAATCTCGTGATATGGTGGCTCATGGTTGTGGCAGTGGCTGCCAAAGTGCTTAAACCCTCGCAGGACGAGTGGTACCAAGACCCGGCCAATTTGGCCACCGCTGAACCGGGTGAGGTGCTCAAATTGAGACCGGTACCCCACAAATTACGCCTGGTGTATTTCTCGATGAATGTGGCTGGGGCATGGCAAGTCATGGTCAAATCTCAGACGAAACACGGCCACCCGGTGGCAGTGGTCAGTACGGTGATTGCTCCTCATGGCGCTCGAAACGACCGTGTTCTTTTCTTCCAAATGGCTCAGGATACCAGTGACCCGGACTGTGCTCCGCTGTACCTGGTACTTTCGGGAGCACTGATGACTACTATTTATAATCAATTGGAGATGGCCACATTACAATTGGCGCTTGACCGAGGCATGTTTGTCGTGCTTCCTGACTACGAGACGGTGCATGGGTGGTGGCCCGGTGGAAAGCAAACCGGGTATGCCGTACTTGACCTGATTAGAGGCGTGGTTAAGCACACTGAAGATACTACTGGTATATCTCCCCTGGCAAAGGTAACGATGTGGGGGTATCTGGGTGGCCTGATCCCAACTAAGTGGGCCCTGGCATTGATCAAACGGTACGCTCCTGACCTCAGAAAGAACGTGGTGGGAGCAGCGGTGGGGGGAGTGGTGCTGAACTTGGGGCTGACGGCTCGTCATAACGAGGGTACGTTATACGCTGGTTTAGTGGCACTGGCGGTGGGTGGTTTAGCCAAACAATACCCTGAATTTGACGAGTTGATTAGGGACCAGCTTAGTGACGCTCATTACCGGGAAATCAACTATACTCAAAATTCGTGTATGGTCCCCGCCGTGATTAAGTTTAGGCATAAACGGTTCTTCACTGGGGACAAGCCTTACGCTAGAGACGGATTAACCGTCTTGGACTTACCATTGGTGCAAAAGATTTTTAAAGAGCACACTATGGCTGACGACCCCGATACTCCCTACCCTCACATCCCCATGCTTTTATACCACGCCAAAAACGATGAGATCATCAACTACCACGACCTGGAGGTGATGTTCCACTCGTGGTGCAAAAAGGGTATCAAACTGTTAGAATTTGTCACCGATTTGACGCTGCGCCACGTCAATGGTATCGTCACTGGCGGGCCCATGGTGGTCAATTGGCTTGAACAACGTATGGACGGCGTCCAGCCCAATACTGGGTGTGATGCTCGTGAAGTGGAGAGCTTTTTAGATGGTACGAATGTCACCAGATGGCTGATGGCGAAGAAATTCGCTGCTAACGTGTGGGGTCGTCCCGTGGGTCCGGTGACTACATTACCGCTGACTGTTTCATCTACGACGCTGTGGTTTACGGGATTAACTGAACCCGCGGGTTTACCGTCGTGGTGGAACGTGAAACGGTGGTGGCACTCATGGCAAGCCCTCCACTCCGCTAATTAGACACGATAATAGATCCAGAGACAATTACATATTATATGCAATAGTTAATTATATGCAGGGGATAAACACAATCAGAAAAAAAACCCGTCAGGTGCACACTCGGGAATTGGGGCTAGTTGCTGACGGGGAACGACTCTTGGCACCTCGGCGCCGCGAAAATTGTCCCGATTGATACTGGCGAATGATCACCAGGTAATTAACAAAGCCACGGCAAAGCAGTACTTAATCAAACTACTTGACTTACTTTCTATCACTATAGTTGTTTTTGACTATAGATGTATACGTAGCAGCTACCGTTTTAGCTTACTTCGTCTGCTGCCATCGTAAGCGATAAGGCAGCCACGCGCTCGCAACGGGGGTCGGCTTGGCACAATAGCACCCCCCCCAGTGACACCGCCAAGGATCTTTCAGCAATAACCAATCATTACGTATAAAGGTATGGGGCCCCCCTAAACGCTGATTCCATAGCCTAATCCCTCAGCCTTCTCCAAAAGAGCCATGGGGACCCACACCTCATACTCCCCCGTGGTGCCGCTGCTGGGCATCGATTTCCAGTGGGACCCTTCCCAGATCTGTCCCGACGACATCTCCCGCTTTCTCACTGTCACCGGTAACGATGACGTAATCGAGTGTTGGGGCGAACCGTTCCAAGAACCAAAAGGCCGGCTCATGGTGAATCTGAGTACCCCCGAGATCGTCGACTTCTGCCGTGAGCTTGAACAGCCGATGGCTCCCTACCTCAACCGGTGTTCCAGCGAAGCTCCCTGTCGTCACGAAGACGCTCCCTATTGTCTTGAATTAGCTAATGGCACTCAGGTGTGTATTGCCAGCCAGCCGTGGTTTGCCACTTCTGAGAAGCATGTGTGGTGGGTGACGGAGCGGGCTTCGAGACTAAGCAACGGCGAGATCGCCTTGGCATCAGTACTCCCCGTGGTGGCGGTATTGGTGGCGGCCATTGGCCTACGCCGATGGCAGCAGATACGTCGCCACCGCCGCAACTTGGCCAGCGCGGGCGCTGGCGCCTACAAGGCGTAGGCACTCTTTCATGATTCTCATCCTCTTTGTGTATATTAGACGTTAATGCCGAAAAATGACCATTTGACGAGTACGGTGAAGCCAACGTGGGCCAACCCCAACGCCACCAACAACGGGAAGTACACCCGGCGCCCGGCAGCGGCGTCGCCGGTGTGGAGCATCACGCAGTTGTTCTTGATGCTGGGAGCGACCTTCAGTAAGTTGCTGATCATGGTGATCACCCCCAGAATCACCACAATCACCCACTCAAGCACGTTGAGAAGCACGTGGTGCTTTTCGTAGCTAATGAATACCACAAACAAGAAGTTGATCAACGTGATCGGCACCCAGAGAATGTTGGTGTACCCGTAAATCAGCATCACGTTGAAAAGCGGGAGAGGCTCGGGGAACTTGGTGACGAACCGCGTCCACATCACTAATAAAAACGGCACGATCACGTTGTACCCGTAGAAAATCGCCATCAGCTTGAATATGAGGTCGAAGTTGTAATTGTAAGCGGGAGTTTCGTCGCCGCCATGAAGCCACTGGCCCATGATATTTGACGCCGTGGCACTGACAAACATGAGGAACACTAACGTCCCGGTGATCCAAATAAACCCATAGAGTTCGGGCAGGTCCAGTGCAATGTCGTCGTCGCTGCTGGTGAAGGGGATGAGGGTCTTGTAAAGTTTGTCAAAAAAGATCTCCAGATCAATGTCAAAGTACCGCCGGTAGAAATTGATCAGAAACATGTGGGAATTGCCGTAGTCCTTGGCCGCCTGCGACGGGGCTGCTGCTGGCGCCGAAGTCATGTTCCCGGACACCGAGGTCAACGGCACCGACAGCGGTGCTGTCAGCTGGGGGAACACGTCCTCATCGGCTTCGACGTAGTCTGGTAGCACCAGCTCCGGCTAGACGTTAGTAATTGACCATATACCGACTGATTTGATGGACGGGACTTACCTGGTTCAGAAGCTTATCGTACTTTTGGCTCATGGTACGTGGCGTTCGCGCGATCAAATTGATGGCTAGACACTAATGGCTAGAGAGACAGTCAGGACTACGAAACGAGACACACAAATGAGCAAAACTAACAATTCTGACAAAAGTCGAAATCGAAGTTACAATTAATCAAAATCCAATTAATTGATCCAGAATGCCTCCACCCTTACTTTCAAGCCTTCACTCATCTCCTGTTAGTCTCGCACTTGTATTTATCTCCGATTGGAGTCGAACTGGCAACGTCCGCCTGCAGGCACGGCCGCCGGCAGCTCCGCGCTTACTTCCGGTACGGCACCCACTCACCGCCTAGCCAGAGCCGGGGCCCGCCAATGTCTCTCCAACTGCCGTTCAAAACCGGACCTGCTCTGCCACACACCACCCGTGAGGACGCCAACAGTGTCATGCTGAGCGACCTGGGCCTGGCCCGCCGTCTCCGCGAGGTGACGGGGACGCTGAACCAAACCACCACTTCCGGCCCGACCGACGACACCATCGTTGAAGCCGAGGGAGAAAAGCTGCCCAAGGTCATCAGCTACCGCAAAAAGCTCCCCCAGCAGCCCCTGCCCGATCGCGATAATGCCATGTACGATGAGGAGCACTTTGCCTCGACCAAATACCGGCTAGCGCTGATGCGACGAAACGTCGAGTTCCACCAGACGTTCAAGCAATTGGACTTGACCGACCGGTTGTTGGACGACTACAGTTGTGCCATGCTGCGGGAAATCTTGTTACAAGGGCGGCTCTACATCCTGGGGATGTATGTGTGCTTCAACTCCAACTTGCTTGGGTGGGTGACCAATCTTGTGATCAAGATGGACGAAATCGTTAACATTGAGAGGAAACTGACGGCGGGTTTGTTTCCTAATGGCATTGCCATTGACACAGAGAATAACAAGTACACGTTCGCCAGTTTCATTCTGCGTGACGCCACTTTTGACCTCTTAGTCACTGCCTGGCACTTAGCCGGAGGTCCACCAAAACGTTTGATTGACACTTCTAGCAGCAGTACCGAGTCGGCTGCTACTGCTAACAGCGAACCGAAACTGCCGCGAATAGAAAACTACCTCATGCTGTTGGACGGCGACGACAACACCACCACCAGCGACGAGCTGATGATGCTGGCTCCTGACACGAAAACGCGCAAGTTCAACAAGACGTGTGGCTTCAGCAATCACGGTCCCGATACTCACGCCCCCACTGAACCTGAAGTTAAGCCGATTGATAAGGAGATCGTGTTATTTGACGAGACGATCGATGCCCCGTTGGGAGTGACGTTTGCCGTGCTCTTTGATCAAAACAACACCTTCCACCGCCAGTTTCTTGAAGACCACGACGGGCTGGAGTTTACGGAGTACTCAGCGTTTGACCCCGAAACCAACACCCGCTCGTACACTTACCAGAAAGCCCTCAATTACAGCATTGGTCCCAAACTGACGCGGTGCGAGGTGGTGGAAACGATCTATAACTTGGACTACGATAGCTACATCGAGGTGGAGCTGGTTACTCGCACTCCCGATGTCCCGCTGGGGAACTCCTTTGCTGTGCACACCCGTTATATTTTAAGTTGGGGCGACGACAATTCCACTGATTTTCGACTCCTGTTCTATATCAAGTGGACTGGAAGCTCGTGGATCAAAGGAATGATTGAAAAGCTGTCGTTATCTGGCCAACAGGCGGCCGCCGATGACTTATTGAAAGCATTGCGCAAGGAGATTGACCAAGACACTTATGTCACCGGTGCTGCTGATGATTCTGGTGCCACTAAACCGCTGGCAGATACGGCCAAGGAGTCGGAAAAGGCCACCGCCCAACCGTCACGTCACGTCACCACCACCACTACTACCGTTCGCCACGAGCTCTCGGGACCGTTGTTGGCGGCATTGACGCTTGTGGTGTTGATGATCACGGTGCTCCTTGTCATAGAGTGGCAAAACTATATCATGTTACGCGAAACGATGAAACTAATGCCGACGGAAAAGATTCTCGTCATGAGGGAATGATCAACCTAACAAACGAACTATACCAAAAAATCTTTATAATGATACCGATGAAAAATAGTTATATACACAAGACATGTGAACACCTTACTAGAGCTGTCCGAAGGTGGTGTAGTTACAAGTTGACGGCTCGTTGGAGACGTGGAGAAGCCATCCCCATCTCCTTTTCCAACGTCTCGACGTCTTCAATGGAGTGGACAAGGATCTGGTCGCACTGGGGATTGAGCTCAAACACAAACACTCCCAGAATCACGCGGTCCAAGTCGGTAGGATTTGATACAAGGCCTTTTAGAGCACCAAGACCAACGCTACCAGTAAAGTCAACCCCCTTCCACGTGTGCGAGCCGAGCCGAGCCGCCAGCGACAGCTCACCGTCGAGGTGAGGGCACCGGGGGTCACACGTGGTCCATTTGATGCCGATTTTCGTCGACCCGGGGATCAACGTCAGCGGGGTATCATCGGTGCCGATCTTAAGCAGCTGGATGTGGATGCGGGCCCGGGAATTGAGCACCACCAGCGAGAGCACCAATTGGAGCGCCTTGCAGGTGGCGTAATACGGGACGTGTCCTTTCAATTGGGGGAGGTAGCCGTGGTACTGAGTGGGACACACCCGGAGCACCACGTCGGGACTCACCATCAGTTTTGGCAACAGGTGGTGGAGCAACCCCGGCACCCGCAACCGGAGCTGTTGCACCATGTCCCCCAAGTTGGCCTTGCGGGCGGGGTCTGGCCCCCGCACCGGCGACTGTGCCAATGCTCCGACGACACGGAACGCTGCCACGCCCAGATGCCGATACACGGGAAGCATGGGCGGTTGGGGGAGATATATGGGAACTTGTAGGTGAGGGCAACTTAAGCCGCCTGACCCCAGAAACTGATCCCGCAGACGCCGCGCGCACGCCTACGGCGCCGTGGCTTGATCGGCAGATTCCAGCAGAAGCACAGTGAGATTTAGTGAGGGGAAGCAGAACACCGCTCGGGGCTCGATTGAGGTTACAATCCAAGCAATTGTTGATTCAGAAAGCTTTTGGGATAAATGAAGGCAATTGGTGTATCGCGATGAGGGTGAGATGGGGCAATGCCAAGCGATGGCTACCGCACGACAGACCTTCAGTAGAGGTTTGAGGGCCAAACGTCTTACCGAAGCGTGTCAATTAACTACAATAAGATTTGTTCGAAGCTTGGATTGAGGCCTCTTTGTGTGATTCAGCAGGAAACTCGTGTCACCACATTGTAATCCTACAGTGACATCGGATAAAAGTGAAAGTCATCTGGAAGAGTCGACGTAAGCGCCATTTGAATTACACGTAGATAAGATCAGAATGGGACCAAACACTTCGGCGTGAAGGTTCACACAATGCGAGATAGCATCTCGACCAGCGCTGAGCCAATGAACAATCTTGTGAGACACATAGTAGATGTTAAAAAATGTTGCATTTCCCCCATACTTAGATTGACTAGCATATCTTTGCACTTCCCGCTCCCCATCCGCATCATCATCTCGCCAAAGAGTCTCAAAAAACGTCAATGAGACGTCGACGAAGGAACAGAAATTTAAGGAGGTTGAAAGTTTCACTCTCATTCCTGTGTAGTTTGGAATGAGGGTTCAGCATGCTTTGTCGTCAATTGTGTGTTCTTTCGAAAAATCACAACTTGCTGTTAACAATTCCGTTTTTGTAGTATACACTGCAAACTTGTTGAAATTTCGATTCTGATACTGATCCTACAAAGCATACTTATTAGTTTGCTGATTGGTATTGGATGGCTGTACACTACTTATCGATGGAATCTAGCTCAGCGAAATCATGTTGTACTGCGAGAGTCTTTCTAAGCTTCCGTTCAGAGGTTAGGGTTTGCTCACAGACTGTGGAATAGCGGAGATTTTCAAACGATGGTCCAACAGTGCTTATGGAGGCTGCTCTCACAAACAGCATTGCTGCTGATGATGGAATTAAGGGAAATCTGAGACATACACTTGAGGGACTACGTCTGGATAGTTACCCAATCACTAGAAACTTCGTTTTTTAAGAACACACTACAAACAGTTACCCATCATAATCGACAGACACCAATAAATCTAATTCTAATAAGGTTTTTGCGTAGTCCATCACATCCAATGAGCATTGAAAGCAACTTGCCGTGCTTGTAGCAGTGATAACAATGGTATAACTCCTCATCTAAGTGGAGTGTTTGTATGCAGGTGGAAGAAAAACCTGCACACATTAGTTGCGTCTGAGTGCAAAGTACAGCTCTCGACTAGATCTTTAAATTGTGTAAAATGCTTTCTAACAGAAATAAAATAACACCACAACAACGTATACGGTTCAAGCTACATTTACGACAGCAATGGGAATTTTCTGTATTTTACTCTAGAAAATCTTAAAAGTGTGATATAAAATCAGGAAAAATCGATAAGATCAATCCGTTTGCTCCATAAGATTCTTTGGCACTGAAAGTATAGTTGACGTGAATTTTGATGGGTTGACTTCAAAATTGGCGTCTCTATGTGAGTTTAACGGTGGAAAAAAAAAGTTTTTTTTTTGTGCAATTTTTTTTTCGGACGGCTTTGAGTTTGTAGCGTAATCTATTACATCTGGGGAGCATTGTAATTGACCCGTGATGTTCGTAGCAGTGCTAAGAATGGTGTAACACCTCGTCTGTATTTGATGTCTGTATGCAGGTGCATGACAAATATGCAAGACCAAACATGCTGAGTTGTAACACACAGCTTCAGAGTGACTAGTCCATTTTAACAAGCATCATTGTAATCTGGAGACGTGTCTATTTGGTTTGATAGGTTTAGGTAGATGCTGCCACCGTTGCTGACACTTATATCGGGCTTTCAAGTTTGAGGTCTTGCACACAAGCCCTGCATTGCAAATCATTCATGATTCTTCCAAAAGCTCTTTCATCACCTATAGTGAACTTGAGACAGAAACGAAATACACCACTGTGATGTATACGGTGCAAATACGACTTATAACAGCAAATGAGATTTCTTTGATTTTCTTGGTGAAAAACTTCAAAGTGTGCTATAAAATCAGGAGAAATTGCTACAGGCTTTCCGTTTGCTTCATAAAATTCTTTGGCATCAGAGGTATGGCAGATAAATATTTGGGCAAATTGACGTCAATTTGAAGTAGTTTTACTTATGGCACCCTACTTGACTTGATTATTATATGCAGTGCACACAACAAACATGGCGTTACTTACCGTAAATCCAAAGTAGATCAAAAATGTATTAACGGCTACAACTTTAATATGCTATAGTACAGGCTGTAAAACTTTCATGAACTCAAATGAAAAGGTGACGTACTTATGACGCTTTTATGTGCGTTCTTGTAGAATCCTGCATGTAGTAAAAAATCTTCAGGCTAAGCTTCCAGCATCTACCAAACTAATCAAGTGAGTTCTGATACCTTTTCCTCGATTAACAAAGTTTGATAATGTATGTAATCGTTATTAAAAGTTGTTCCCGAGTAAAAAGTCTTTTCTAAAAAAAAACTTTTTTTTTTTACGAAAAATTTGCAAAAAAAATTCGAAATAATTTTTGACGAGTGGCGCGCCACACTATATGCAGACTGTATCAGACACTCAAAATTGACGAGCAGCGCGGGAGGCTCTATGCAGTACAAATCGATAGAGCTATGACAGGTTGAGCTACATAAGTCAACACTTATATCATCGGTCTTGTTCTTATGTAATCTGTGAAAACACTCTTTTAAAGCTAGAATGGATACTGGAGTATGTGTTTAGCTGACTTGATTCGTGTGTGCATTCAGGGTGATTTGGGCTGATTCAAATTGAAAATCTAAGCCTGTAGAGCACTTCTGCATCTTGGCTGCCATTTGTGGCATCGTTGCATAAATGCAAAATCAAACTAATACGGCCGTTCATCTCAGTCGACCGCGCTCAAATCGGAGCTATTCTACGGCTGCGATTCGTGTATTCTACAAAATCGTTCTGCATTTGCCACACAATTCAGCATTCGAGTTGCTTATCTTCGTCCTTTTATATGATGCTATACAAATCAAGTAGGTCCCAATTCTTTTAAGTATATCTCTCCAAAATAAGTGCTGGCTCGGAGAGCAAATACTGTCTTGTTCAAATATCTACCTGTAGCGTGATATCCTTTTCAGTGCTCATTAAGCATAAAGCAGTAGGGACTACGCAAAGTTTTCTGTTTTCTATTGATTTCTATGTCCATGAAATCTCCTGAGTGTTTATAATGTTTCGTAGATCAACTCACGCACCTTATACTCTTCGTTGGCCTCGTCGATCTCCTTCCAGTCACCAATCACCTCATCGCCCCGGACCACCCCTGGAATCGTCCGCATGCCGTTAGGCCCGTTAGCGTACCGCTTCCAGATCTTTTTAGCTTCAGCATCGGTGCCGAGATCTTTGTACTCAAACTTTATGTCGTTCGCTTGTAAGATCAACGCCAACCGGTTGGTACGAGGAACGATTTGCATCCCCCCTGCCAACGACGTGTAGAGGTAGATGGGCAACGTGGCCAAATGTTTGCGGATCTCGTCTTGCGACACCTCAAAGTCAAGATCATCGTCTGCTTTTGATGGCTTCTTAGCCGTCGACGTAGCAGCAGCGGCAGCTGAGCCCAGCGGTTTGAGGATGGACCGTGCCTGAGTCGACTTTTCGTCGGCGTCAAGCTCACGAAGAAGCGCTTCTACGTCGTCACCTTGGAGCTCATTGATGAGGTCATCAATATCGAGACTGGTATCGGCAGCGGCTGTCGTCGCTGACTTCTCCTTAGGAACAGCATCAGTGTCACCACCGGCATTGATGTCAACTGATGCTACCGATTTGTTCGACAAGTTCAAACCAGCAACCTCATCTTCTTCCGGTACAGACTTGGTGGTGGTGTCAGCATCGTCAGCCTCAGTCTTGGTCTTAGCTTCCTCTAAGTCTTCGGGTATAATTTCCTTAGATTCGGAAAGTTCAGGTTCAACATCGTCAGTGTTCGAGTGCTTAGACTTGGTGTCATCAGCAGTAGTCTCATCAGCCTTCGGTTCTTCAGCTTCAGGCTCGTCGTCAACGTCTGCTTGTTTGACGTCAGAGTCTTCGGTCTTAGTGTCTTTAGCCCCGGTAACCTTAGTCTCTGGTTCATCGGCCGTAGTCAAAGTGGATTGCTTTTCCTTAGCAGCAGCAGCAAGATACGCGTTGACGGCCTTAGTGTCGATGCGAAGTGACTTGAGCGCGGCGATCTCACTCAAGTGGTGTTCATCGTCCTTGTAATTGTAGAGGTTTTCCCCAAGTTCAAGCACGATCTGTTCCTTAGCTGGTTGCAGGGAGTTATTGGTAGCAGTGTGAATGGCTGCTTTCTTGGTGGTCTTCTTATCCAGCTTAGGCTTAGCTATGGTCTTGATGGGTTTCTCGTCCTTGACAGCGTCAGATTGAGGCTTCACATCCTTGTCGACCTTCGTGGACGGTGGGGTTGACATGGTGGGAACTGTCAGTTTGGTAGGTGTGGCGGGTGACAGTAAGTGCCCCTGAGCCGAGGGTTCCAAACCATCAACCGTGGCTGAGGTCTCAGCTGGCTGCGATTTCTCACTCACATCTTTGGTAACAAATGGCTTTTCGTCGGTAGTCGGTGCCTCCTTATCATTCTTTGCAAGAACCTTTTCGGCGTTGTCTTCATTGACTGGATCTGATTTCTCCGAGGAGGGGACAGCGTCAGCTGTTGTTGAGGCATTACCTTCATCAGACGAGTTACCGAGTAGCTTCTCGGCTTCATACCTCGCATCCTCATAGTCGTCCATGGCGATTTGTCGCTCATGGCCCTGTAAGCTATCAGGGGCGGGTTCTTCAGTGCTCAGTGAAATCACTGGTTCCTGAGATCCTGCTATAAGTTCAGCATCCTTCACCAGTTCGGCGTAGGTGGCTTCGGCAATCTCCTTAGCTTCACGAGCAATTTTTTCAAATGCAGATTCGTTCGAATCATGAGAGTCGACGGAGAATAAGTCCAGATCGAATTTGGACGCCGCTCCCGAGCCCAGACGAGTTTTGGTGGGAGTCGCGGGAGTTTCGGGATTAACCGAGTCAGAAGCCTTAGGGGGTTTCAGAGGCGAGTCAATTGACTTGGTAGGCGTAGCATTTTCACTGAGATCAGCGGCCGGAGTTATATCCGTTGATTTCGCCTCCAACACTTCATTGATGATGTTATCCGTCTTCACTGGGGTGGAATCGTGGGAGTCCCTCAGATCAAGCGACACAGTAGGGTCAGGGTCCACCAGTGCCTCCTGAGACACGGCGGGGTCACTCGAGGTGGTGGCGTCCTCTGGAGGCAGCGGCAGCTTCAGCTTCTTCTTTTTCTTCTTCAGCTTGGGCTTAGTAGCCCCCACCAGCTGGCCCAAGTCGTCGAGAGCGGCAGTGATGTCGTCGAGGCCGTCAATGGCTTCCAGCTCCAACTTGAGCTCGGCCATGAGCGAGTCGAGGCCGTCGTCGCCGGTTTTGGCTTCCTTGACATCCTTAGCCTTCTTCGTCAGCTTCTTCTTCTTCTTTTTCAGTTTGTCTTTCACCAGGGGCAGCGCCAGCGGCGGTGGCAGCAGGCTGAGCTCGCGGTCGCTCATAGCTCGTGTGGGATCGGTGGAGCGGGGTTTGTTGGCTACCGAGCGCGGGCCGAATAGTGCTGACCACCACACCTTGAGCGAGCGAGGCGTACGCGGTTTAGGCGGAGTAACGGATGTCATTAGCGTTTACAAAGATTAATTGGGTTTGGGGACAGTCATAGTATTTATTTTTGGGGTGGGGTGACTATGCCGCTAGCCGAGTACCAGTGCTCGGGGGAGGCGACGCGCTCTAAATTGTCACCTAAAATAAGGCTTAGCCACGCTAGATCCTGGGGAGCACAAGGAATGTGCTAGACGAGACTCTTTGTGATTAATTGTCTGAGAAAAGAAAATTCATAAGGACAATTCACTGGGCATTAGTCTACAATTATACGGAATCAATTTAGTAGCTCTTTTCTTTTGGCTGTGGTCATAAACACCTGTTAATGTTTCATAAACTTTTGGTGAGTGGTTTACGGAAACGGTAAGTGATATTGGTTCACACGAGTATTCATTCGCACCACTCTCTAGACGAGCGCTGCACGCGCTGTCGCCATTATCACTCCCCTTGAGCCATACGAATATGTCGTTTTGTGGTATCTGTTGTTTTACGTTGCTATGTGTGATTGGGCTACGACAGTGTCACACCGCCTGCTCGGCCTCTTCCTTGATGTCCATGGCGGCGTACTCGTAGTCGTCGTTGACCAAGGCGCCCTCACGGACAAGCTCGCTAGGGTCGGCCTCGTCTTTGGCACACGCTTCGCGACGCGCCGCCGGGCGCGACCGCAGCCGCGAGATCAGCCGCAAGTACGACGCCAGCGCGAGCCGCTGCTGGGCGTTGAGCTTCAGGCGGTCGTCGTAGGCGTGGGGCAGGTCGACGTTGAAGTTGGTGTAGTCGCCCAGCGTCACCAACAGCGGGTCGCGCAGCCCCCCGAACGCCGGCGGCGCCAGCGCGCTCTCGGCGATCTGGAGCTTCTCCAGCATCGTCCGCTTGCCGTGACGGGTCACCCGGTCGTCGTCGCCGTCGCCGTCGTCCTCCGCCGGCGGCTCCAAGTTGCCCGGCATCTCGTAACCTAAGGGCAGCTCGTCGTGCACGGTCTTGTAGTTGTCGCCGCGAGCCAAGTGGCGCCGCCCCGTGAGTCTCAGGTTCAGCGGCAGGCGCCCCTTCAGCGAGTCCCGGACCCGGCTCCGCAGCAGGTCCCGGTCAGTGTGCCAGTAAGGCGAGTGAAGGCCGTCGGTGGTGTCGGTGACGTTGACTTGAGGCGGCGCCAGTTGCAGTGGTTGCGCGGGCGCCAGCGGCGTCCGCAGCACCAGCGCTCTCTGAGTGGGCGCCGGCGACTGGTGGTCGACATACCCCGGAAGCTTCTTTGGGTTGTGGGGGGACTCTAACAGCGACACAAACAGCGAGTGGTCATGAATCTGGTGGTCGAGCTGGTACTCGCTGAGATCAGGCGCCAGGTAGATGTTGTTGCTCGAAGCGGCCACTGGTTTGGGCGTGGTCTTCGGCGCTGCTTCCTCCGCCGTCAGCTCCGGCGCCAGGCCACGGTTTTTGTGGAGATTGATCGCCAATTGAGCCACCCGCTGGTCGAGATCATTACCGTCTTCATCAACATGCACTGGCGCCTGTTCCGCCGCCACCACCTCCCCTTGGGACCCGAGAAACTGGTACTCATCGTCGCCCATCAACGCCCCCTCCTGCGCCAATTCGTCGATCAGCGCCCCTCGCTGGTCCACCACGGCGCCCTTAGCGGGGGGTTTCAGGCGCGGGCGCCGGTGAGCGGCGCTGGGCGAGGCGCTAGCAGCGCCATTAGCGCCGTCGTCGTCGACCAGCCGCACCAGTGACCCCACTAGCGACGGGTTTTTTTGCGGTGGTTGTGGTGTATACGCCATTTGCAGTGGTTTGCGGTTGTCAAAATCGATTCGAGCGTCGCCGGCGGCTTGATAGCCGTGTGGAGATAACCCTCCGGTGTGTGCAGGAGGCGCCCCGGATGGGAGGGCCAGACCCTGATCCCGTGGTAACTTGTGCCCTATTCTATTCTTAACCGTCGCTGTCGGTGAATAAAGTCGATTATCTCTACCTAAAATATCCACCGAATGTCTCCATTGACGATGCCGACACTGATAGGTTTCTTTTTGCCTCAGGCCAATCACCGCTGGCGCTATCGTCAGCTCTGGTTGCTCCCCTCCACAATCGGAAGTCGCAGCGCCTCCGCTAGTGGCAAAATTATGTAAGTTGTGCACAAGTGATTATGTAAGCGGCATTTAGTAGGCGAAAAGGAAGAACCGCTTTTAAAATTGATTCCAACATCAACACACTAACACAGTACAGTTTCCTTATCATTATCAATAATCCCTCACTGGTGCCGAGAATTCCTCCGCTGTCATGCTGTCATTTTTGCCACCATATTTATAGAATCGAAGGCGGTAGAAGTCTCACTTCAAATGAATGGTGACTCATCCTGCACACAACCGCACTATATATAAAACACGTGCGAAATTCTCTCATTACCTCCATCTTTCAACCAAAGACTACAACAACCATGCCCAGACAAAGAAGATCGGCTCCTGCCCCCAGCAGAACCCAATCGAGATCGGCTCACACCGCCTCGTACCCTCC